CTTTGGGTCGTTCAAATTTTTTTTTCATATTTTTTACTTCATTTCCTGTAGTATTGGATTAACAGAAAAAATTATGGGTAATAATTTGTAGGAAATGTTCCAGTGGATTACTTTGCACTTCTGATAATTTTCGATTTTTCCATTTGTTTTCGATATAATTATATTGAATTGAAAGGATTTCAAATTTTGATGTTTTGATTTTCATTTGTTTTTCCATTTTCCGATGGATGCACGAAAAAATGGTGAAATAATGATTTGTTGCGTCATCAAAGAGACATACGGTGCATTTTTCAAATTTGGATTTAGTCTATTGGTTCAGGAGATATGTCGTTTTAAAGCGAACCGTGTGTTTCGGAAAATCTCCTTGAAAATCCCACTTGAAATTTCCCGACCCTGCTCAATCTCAATAGGCTTCGTCTCTCCCTGATAGAGTTTTTTTTCACAAAAAATGAAATCGATCTGACCACTTTTGCGATTTGTAGAGTGGTCACAAGAAACTTCCGGTGAAAAATCGAAAAAACCCGGAAAAACCACCTTAGAGTTTTCCGATTTCCTTCATATGTTAATGACATAATATTGTTTTGAGTACAATAAGATGGCAAAATCTCAAGTCGATATGTCAAAGGGTTCCGGAGATATATCGATTTATGATTACAGAGTACTGACAGACAGACAGACAGACCACACACAAAAACCAAAGTTGCTCAAAATTCGATGGGGATCATTTTCTCCAAAGTAACTATACCTCTATCTCGCTTAGTTTCCGAGATAGCATTTTTGGCAAGGCCGTAGTATACTCCACTATGTATAGCGTCGTATAACAATTATACGACAAACAAAACTTTTGACGGTGGCCCTTTTGGTGATATGATCAACAAAAATGTGTTGAGAATAAATGTGAGAGTTATTATTGGTCCCTCGGGGCCCCCTGAGGATGAATGGCCCCGCGCATGGGCCCTGTGTGTCCTTTTTTTATGTTCTGGTTCCCACGAAAAGGGATATCCTGTAATGTTCAGAGAACATCGTGAGAACCAAGGGAAATAAGGTAGGAATTGGTTTTCTTCTTAAATTTCTGGAGGTTATATGCCTTGGGGAACACCTCCCTTGGCAATGTGTTCCAGAGCCTCGCTGTTCGTTGGATGAACGAGTTTTTGGAAAGAGATGTTCTGCAGGTCTCCAAAGTGACCACGAAGGGGTCAACTCGACGGGTTAATCTCGCGAGGACTGCCAAGGGAGGAACAATTGTTGATATTTCAGAAGAGCATCGTCCATGAAAATATCTATAAAATAGAGCCATATCGCCAACTTTTCTACGGTGTTCCAGAGAAGTGAGTGAGTTTGTGAGCGAGGCTTCACCGACGAGACAAATTTCTTTTTCTTGGACAGAATCCAACAGTTTCAGGGTATGTTTGGGTGCTGCACTCCAAGTATGGGAAACAGTATTCCAGGACAGGTCGGATCTGTGCCTTATAGATCATAACCGTATACGGATGTAGTGAAAAATGAATTCTCTGAAAATTCAGCTGAAAGGAACTCTCTCATTATTCAGCTTGTTTTTTCATGAATCTAGATTCCTTTGAAAATATAGTCACAAGAGATTTCTGGGTTGACGAAATTCTTAACGCCCGAGAGAAGCTCTACCATATTCACGAATCTCCAAAAACCGGGAACATTTTAATAAAAAACATTCGCTAGAAAAAAGTCAAACCTCGGATCCACTTAGTGAAATTCGCAGTCACGAGAAAAATGAAAAGTTTGCTCGCTTTAATCTCCGAGTACTTTGACAAACAAGAAACAAGTGTTCCTTCAAAGCTTTGTGATGGCGTTTGCTGGAGTTTCAATTGGCGCGTGCTTACAGAATAGACATTAGAAATGTCGTATAAACTGCTCGACAACCGAAATGGTCCACCTGATTGAATAATTTTTCAAACAACTAATCAGTAGTCATTTTCAATATTTCATCAAACACACGACCTTTCACTTTTCTATCGATACTTCCACGGGAAATGTTATAATAATAATAATAATAATAAATTGACTTTATTTGACAAATGTACACGCATTTGCCCTGAAAAGGCGAAGATTAGCTAAATAGCTACTCTTGAACTCTTAACCTTTTCAGTTTACAGAATAAACAAAAAACTGAAATGAAAGTATTATACAATGTTATTAATATGGTATATGTATAGATAGATGAGAATAGATAAAATGCATCTATCTAAAAAATGTATGTAATATATGCATAGATAGAAAAAAAGGAATTTAATTTAAGAAAGTAACAATGTGACTAGTCTTGTTGATTCAGCAGTTCATTTTTAACGAATTTCCTGAATTTATTCAATGGTGTTGTTAATTCTGGTTTGAAAGAATTGAAAAGTTTTACAGCATTATAGGTGAAACTGCGTTCAAACAGAGCAGTCGAATGGTTTGGCATGTTGAGTACTTGTGAATATCTGGTGTTAAGATTATGTAAATTATTTCTAAAGACCAGTTTATGAGAAAGGTATGGCGGACTTTGAGTATTTAATAGTTTGTGCAGAAAAATAAGAAAATGGTATTTAAATACATTAGAAACTCTAAGCCATTTCAACTGCAGGATGTATTGAGAAATGTGATCATATTTCCTCAGATTGAATATGAATCTACAACAAGTATTTTGCACGCGTTGTAGTTTATATTGGGTGCATTTATCAAGATATGGATAGTAGACAATGTTGCAATAATTCAAAAAAGATAAAACTAAAGATTCTGAAAGTTTTTTCCTTGTTTTGTAATTTAAAATATGTTTATTAGCAAAAAGTAAACGAGTGCGCATATAACATTTACGTAATAAAAGATTCACATGATTCTTGAATCTCAAAGAAGTATCCATGGTCAGTCCTAAATTTTTTGCAGTTCTTCGGAAATCTCTGCTATCATTCCTTCACTAGCAATACCAGTCAGACGAACTAGACAAGCCCAGTCAGCACATCCTTTCATTGTCAACCTCGAAAGATGTCGAACAGCACTTCATCAAAACTCCTTCATCCATAGAACGGCTAGGCTCTGGAATTCATTGCCTGAGAAAGTATTCCCAACAACATTATAATCTCCAGAAGTTCAAAAAAAATTCCAATACCTGCCTCTTATCTCTATCCTCCCTAGGAACGCACGATGTTCTTTGAACATTATAGGGATTCCCTTTCGTGCGCTCCAAGCGATAAAAAAAATGTTTCGCTAACACAGTAGTTTTGTCAGGTAATATACTGGTACGATGAACTACACTAACCTTGGCTTGCTTATACAAGGTGTTTCACAGATAAAGGGAAATATTTCAATGGTACATAGGAGTCACCAAGGTGGTTCTGAAAATACCATATTTGATAGGTCTTATCGATTTGGAATAATTATTGATTCGTCTATAATTATTGAACTACCCAGTATATTTTTCTGAAATTTGGTATGGAGCTCATACTTGGGACGTTGAATTAATTCACCTATCGGGCGAAGTGAAAATCCAGGTTCGGCTTCAGGAAAAATGTACATTTATTCGAAATATTGAAATAACACACTGTATGTAATAATAAGAAACTGAACTGGATTTGATGCTTTTTGTTTTCCCGCCACCAATTCTCATCGTAACAATCATAAACAGAAAGCTAAGAGTATGTCAATTTGTAGAGTATCAAAATTATGAAACCACTTGCAATCATGATTATTTGATATATTCTTGTTGAATGATCGTTCGAAAAAACTTACTGAGTCTCTCAGTCTTCATAACAGAGATACAGAGTGAATTATCGGTTTCGAATAATTATTCACTCGTCCATAAGTATTGAACTACCCATCGCAGTAATATTTTCTCAAATTTGGTATTGAGCTTACTTGGGACGATGGATTCATTGACCTATCAGGCAAAATGATAATACAGGTTCAGCTTCATGAGAAGTCTCATAATCTTTATAGCAAAGATACAGGGTGAATTATCGAATTATAACTATTTGGTATTATTTCCATTCCACCTGATATGTTAATCAATCCATCGTCCCACGTAAGCTACATACCAAATTTGAGAAAATGTTACTGGGTACTTTGATACTTATGGACGAGTGAATGATTATTCAAAACCGATAATTCACCCTGTATCTCCTTTATAAGGACTGTAAAACTGAGTAGTAAGTTCTTTCGAGCGATTTTTTTACTAAAATATATATGAAATAATCATAATTGACACTGGTTTCATAATTTCAATACTCTTCAAATTGACATACTTTCAACTTTCTGTTTATGATTGTTACGATGAGAATTGGTGGCGGGAAAACAAAGAGCATCAAACCCAATTCAGTTTTTCCTCCTCCTCACAATTCCTTTGATGTACTGTGTTAATTATTAAATACAGTGTGTTATTTCAATACTTCGAGCTTTTGGAAATGATTATTTCCATCATCAGGAATACTACAATGATTGAAGAGTGTATATACATTGGAAAACATTATGGCCATGCCTTGTACAGACATCTTTGGTGAGGTTGGTTACAACGTTGCTAGATATATAAAATTGTGAACGATGAGGTGACATTTTGTGTAAAAATTGCTTACATGGACACATAAGAGACTAACATTTGTACAACTGAATGCAACTGTCACTTTTTTGTGAATTTAAATTTAAAAATTTGGTTTAAAAAAATTCCTAGTCTCATTTTTCACATTCTTCAAATTCTTCGAATTCTTTAAGGTTAGGAATGTCTGATTCTTCCTTTTCACAGAATAGAGAATTTTGTTATGTCAATTGACAGTTGTGTTATCGTGGTTTATAACTATTGTAGTTTTCAGCCAGTTTATGAAAAAGAAGAAGAAGAGATTGTTCTTTTTCATAGACTGGCCTAATGGCTATGCATAGATTTTGGGAGGATGTACCTACCATTGTTGTTTATTTTATGAACATTTTGTGGAAATGACTGAGCTTTTTGTATTTATATTATATATTTATATTCATCTGAACGATAATCTTTTTTTTTTCAGGTGGATACGCCAGACAGCGTGCTACAGAGTGGTCTGGGTCTAACCGACCTAGGTCAACACGCCGTTTTGAGGTCCATGGTAGATCCCAGGGACTATGATAGGTTGAGGCATTTGCAAATGAACGGTGGTACCCCGAATACCTTCGAAGAGACCATATACAAGGTAAGAAAAACATGAAGGGAATGATGATAATAGATTATTTACAACCATACAGTGTGTCCCACTTACCATGCTCACCATGGGTATCTTTTTAACGGTGAGAGATACGAGGTCGGTTGAATAACACCAAATGTGGAGTTTGTCAAGGCCAACTATAATGTGAAAAAATATTTTGATAAAATCTATTCGATTTTGTTTTATACGCAAAAATCAGATTTTGATCATTTTCATGTCTCCTCCGTAACTTCTTTAGTTATGAAAATATTCAAATAGGAATTTCACATTCTCATGGCAGTTTTTCGAAGTGATTTCGAAAAAAATATGAAATTCATACCAACTCTTCTAGAATTTGAGATATCAGCACCAACTTTAGTTTTTCAAATGTAGGTCATAGCTCACTACGACTTAGTTACAAATAACTTTTTTTTCTCTTACAGATGATATGTCGCAGTAATAGTTTTGTGTTGATAACAACGGAGTTATCGTCATTTATACAAAAACAAAAAATTCGAATGGAATCGGACCAAATCTTGTCCGCCATCTTGGAGCAGCCATTTTTTTTAATTTCAACAAAAATTCCATGAGTATATATATATAGATTGCTCGCACCAGAAGGAGTTGAAAATAATTCCAGTTTAAGAAATTATAGATTCTTCCGTCGACCTCGTATATTAATGATCAATTTGTCTATTGATGATGCATGATTGTTGTATAGACAACCAAACATACACCTCTTCTATTCACTGATGTTGATTGTTGATTATATAACCTACGTAATCTGCATTTAAATCGAATACATATGGATTTTTTCGTTAACGGGTTAGTCTTTCCAAGTTTCTGAACCTATTTTAATCCCTGTTTTCTAAGACAAGGAATTTATATTCTATGTTGATTATTTCGACAAATGTCAAATGTCACTAATATATCTCAACTTTTCATTAATGCGATGTTTCTTTACTCATGAATTTGAATATAATGAATTGCCTCGAATTGCTCTGGGATTCCGTTGTACAGGGTGTCCCAAATTGCTTGATTTTGGCAGTTTTCCCTATTTCCAGACCAGGTAGAGAAAAACTGACCTAGGATTATAGAGCTTGATTTTCGTGAAACGTCGATTGGTGAAAACCGCATTTCGATATCTCAAACCGTTTCCGAGATATAAGCAGAAATTGACATTTCACCGATTTCGAAAAATTTACATAACTTTTTTATTTTTGGATATTTTTCCAAACGGTGAAAACTTTTTAAAGACACTTTATGATGTAGAATAAGATGCATATGTCAAACAAAATATATCGCTTATCAATTGTCTGATATCATAGCCAACTTCGTTATTTCAAATAGAAACCATAGTTGGCTTTGACTTCATAAAATCGAAAAAAAATAAGCTTTCCAAAAATATATATGTTGGTTTATTTTTAGTCATCCTTGCTGTTGATAAAACGTATTTCTCTTTGGAAATCACAATTTGGTGACATCTCAACTTAGTGAGCCATGGAAAGTAAGAGTTGTTTTGCTTATCTGTCAGACAATAAATGAAATATCTAAAAGCTGTCACCTGCTTGCATGAAAATGTTTGAAAACTTTGAAAAATGCCAGATGTTTGTTTGCTTTATTGAATCAGGTTACTTAAATATTGAAGCTGCAAGAAATTTATATGTCGAACGATACCAGCCAGGGCCTACACAGTAGGCCCTGTACCAGCAGTAGAATATTCAATCGGCATAATCGGCATCATTGGTCGGACCATAATGAGCATGTTTTCCAACCTAGAAACATGCAAGGACGATTTGGTTTCAACATTTGGATTGGAATAGTGGGGCAACGAATGATTGGTCCTTTTATTCATGATGAAAACCTTAACGCCCAAAGATACGTTAATATTTTAGGAAATTTTGTAGAACCATATTTAGAAGACTTGCCTCTTGCCGATTCGATAAGAAAGTTTTATCAACAAGATGGCGCGCCGGCCCATAACGCGACGGTAACAATCAACAAACTGAATCAAATGTTCGGGAATCAGTGGATGGGAACACGGGGCCCCGTACCATGGCCTGCAAGATCTCCGGACCCAAGTCCTTTGGACTTTTTTATCTGGGGTTTCGTCAAAGACCAAATATTCAAAACCATACCAGGAACGCGTCAAGAATTAGAGCAAAGAGTGAGGAATGCCATCGCTCGAATAACACCGTTACAACTCTTAAACGCCGAGAAATCAGTGAAGAAGAGATGCCATCTATGTCTTGACCGAAATGGTGGACAATTCGAACACTATTTGTGATAAGCTCAATAAACCGTTGGAGATTTATTGTTACCTACTGAATTAAATATTTTGTTAAATAATTCAATATTGCTACTTTCTTATTCAATTACTTGTTTTTTATCACTTCATTATCATATAATTATTGATTTGACAAAAAACTCTTGCTTTCCATAGCTTACTTAGTTGAGATGTCACCAAATTGTGATTTTCAAAGATAAATACGTTATATCAACAGCAAGGATGACTAGAAATATATCAACATATATATTTTTGGAAAGCTTATTTTTTTCCCGATTTTATGAAGTCAAAGCCAACTATGGTTTCTATTTGAAATAACGAAGTTGGCTATGATATCAGACAATTGATAAGCGATATATTTTTTTTTGACATATGCATCTTATTCTACATCATAAAGTGTCTTTAGAAAGTTTTTACCGTTTGGAAAAATATCCGAAAATAAAGAAGTTATGTCAATTTTTCGAAATCAGTCAAATGTCAATTTTTGCCTATATCTCGGAAACGGTTTGAGATATCGAAATGCGGTTTTCACCAATCGACGTTTCACGAAAATCAAGCTCTAGAACCCTAGGTCAGTTTTCCTCTACCTGGTCTGGAAATAGGGAAAACTGCCAAAATCAAGCAATTTGGGACACCCTGTACATGAAAGACTAGTAAATCAGTTGATTTTACGCAAGTGTGTGTAGTGTGTGTAGTGTAAATCACCCTGTACGACATTCTGAAGCCAATATGTTTATTCAAACTGAAATAATGAGCTCTGTGTAGCAGAGGTTTTTTCCCCTTGATTATTCCTCTTTTCCATCCAGATGGAACAGAAATGACCGCTTAAGGGTTGATAGGTCCAGATGAAATTGATGGTGATTGGTGGTGTCGTGGAGAGTGACACAAACGGCCGTCTTGGGAATAGGAGAGAGACAACGGTGGCTGTGCATCGCTGAATATGGCGGCTGCAAGGTCATCAGGGTGGGAAAAATTGTCGCTCTCCTGAGGGGTTGTTGACTAATCTTCTATAGTAGCCCTAGGTGTTATTAGTCATTTTACTTGGGGGTGTATAATTTGCTGACCAAAATTAAAGTATGCTGACCGAGCATTTCTCGATTTTTTCCTTCAAATTGCATATTTGAATATCTTATGTAGATATATAGATGCCAGCAGTGGAATTATTTCGATCCACTCTTTCAGAGGGGTAGTTTATTTTTGCAGTTTTTTAAAATTCCTTGCTGACCGAGCATTTCTGGTTCATATTTTTCTCGTATTTTTACATCAAATGACATATTTGGATATCTCATGAATGCCACTAGTGGAATCATTTATACGATACACTCCTTTTGAGGGGTAGGTTATTCTTGCAGTTTTTCGAAAATCCTTGCAGACCGATCATTTCTGGTTCGTATTTTTCCATCAAATTACATATTTGGATATCTCATATAGATTTATTGATGCCACCAGTGGAATTATTTCGATCCTCCCCTTCAGGGGTGATTTGATGGGAAAGGACCCCGCACTAAACTATAGGGAAAATGGCTCTCGATGAAAATCGCTGAATTTTTGGTATGTTGCAGACTTTGATATACTGATCAGATATTCCATTGAACTAACCTCAAAAAATGGACAGTTTTTCTGATATTGACCTCCAAATGTCATTTTTTCGAGAAAAAAAAGTATCTGAAAATGGTTGAATTTTTGACATGTTGTAGATTGGAATGAACTGATGAAAAAATCTTATTGACATAACCTCCAAAAATTGACAGTTTCCTCAATAATGACCTCCAGATGTAATTTTTTCAAGAAAAAAAAAATCTCTGAAAATGGCTGAATTTCTGGTATGTTGTAGATCGGAATTAAATAATGGAAAAATTCAATTGACCTAACTTCAAAAAATTGACAGTTTTTCGATATTGACCTCCAAATGTACGTATGGAAAATAAGATGAATGGAACAAAAATCAATAGACAAAGTTGCTGTTTTCGAATTGGTATTTGGCATTTCATTCTCCTAAAAACAAATCTTCTTCATATGATACACCCACAGGTGAAGAACGCCGAAGAGAGGATGTAATGAAATATATATTATTCAAAAGATGGTTACAGTATAGTCTTTCCGGAGTCAACGGGGTTGAAGGTATACACACTAGTCGAATTTATGCCATATATCTATTTCATTTCGATCATTCCATCTATTATAAAAGAAGTCGATACACTCATTCATTACTTACAATAATACCAAATATATTTTTTTAAATAATCAGAATAATCACCTCTCAGCAACACTTTTGTCGCAGATGACGTGACATTGACATACCGATACCGATAAAAACTTTCAGATTTTTATTGCTCAACAACCAATGAGAATATTTCCAAATTCTTCATAGAATTGAGGATTTATTTCCATAATCGGAGTGGAGTGTTGTGTACTGATGTATACACAATAAATAAATCGTATCGTATAGTATAGTTGCAATGGATTGGTCGCGGTATAGAACGTCATCACGCGTTGTCCCTCGATTTTCATGTTATGAAGTATCGTGAATTTCAATAATTATTTTCAATATGTACAGAGATCTGAACAGAAAACGGTTTGCGACAGTGAACAACTTTGGGTTAGCTTTTCAAAATTATGGAATAAAATAAAATATTTGCAATGGATTGATCCCGGTATATGACGTCACGCGTTGTTTCGCAATTTTCATGTAATGAAATATCGTGAATTCCAATAGTTATTC